GAAGGTCGATGTTGATAAAGGGAGACACAATAAAATAAACTCTGTTATCCAGGTTCTCCCTTGTGTGTTACCACCCTAATATAGCACATACCATATTAATTCTGTCTCATCCACTGTAGGTGAGCAGGCTTCTTCGAAAATGAACAAAAACAACCCAAGTGTTGTTTTTGAGCAAGAGATTGTTTTTGAGCAAGAGCAAAATTGTCTAAGTAGAACTTTAATCATCCATCGGGCAATAATCTATCATACACTACATTTTTCAAAGGTGGTGTACCTTTTGCCACAATTCTAGATGTAGCAATTACGACTTTTTTTTTTTTCAGGCTGATCAAACTACTGCCACAGCCTTATTTTCATTATCTCAGTGTGAAATAATTTACTTCCAGAGGAGACTACACATACACAAAGGGAGAGAGCAAAGGAGGCAGGGGAAAGGGAGAAAGGGAGAAACAGAGAGAGAAGAATGCCAGAGAGGACACACATACAAAAAAATAAGTCTGACTCACAGAATTGCAGCTTCCTAAAGAGATGTACTGTCTTTTGCAAATGTCAGGTATCTGGGTTTTTTTTTTTAATTTTAATACAGAAACTCTTAAAAGCGGTTTGGATGTTTCTTTTAAAACTACATTGAGGCTGCAAAAGAACACTGTTGTGGGAAGTGCCTGCATTGTTTAAAAAACTCAATTTACTAGTTAAAACTGACCTATTTCAGAAGTGACTTAGTCACTTAAGAATAAAGGACCTCATAGTCCTCCTTCTTAAAAAATAACTTATGAAAAAATCATAATACAGATTTTACTTTCCTAAAACACCCTAATTTAAAAATATTTTTTTAATTAGACCTTGCTAATAAAGAATTAAGGCAATTAATCTCATTATTTAACATGGTACTTGAATGCAAAAATTGTGGCCATCTTACAATAAACAGCATTGAAGAATGTCAGATTAATGCATTACACATGCTGTTTTTAAATTATTTCATAACCTGTGCCACAGTAATTAATGAGATTAGTGAGATCAGAGATTAAATGTACTTAAGGCAGCTCAGATGAATTTCAAATGTATGATAAGGAATACATGAATAATGAACACTTGCTATTCTTAACAGTTTTGAAAGTTTGCTACTTTGATGGATTGTCCATATTCCAAACACCTAATATGTACTATAAGGACTCAAAAAATCTCTAGGGTGGGAAAACAATTTACAGCATGTATATCATGTGGGAATCCACGTTGCCAAAGACCCCCATTTATAACTGCGTGTTCAGCCAGGAAGAAGCTACATAAATATGCAGAACAGTTTGACAAAGAACATGCTTTAAGATTTTGTACTCACATGCAAGCTCTATACATCTTTTCTTTTGCACTACTCTCTTGCAAGACCACTATATAAATATTAGAAGTGGCCAGGCAGGTGAACAGGAATTTTTTTGATGTTTCAAACTCTCAGAGCTGAAGGTTTTTTACTGTGCAAGACAGAGGTTGCTGCTCTTAGGAAGGCAGGCAAAGTGGGTAGGGATTTTTAGGGGATTTCTTGGTGGCTCCCCAAACCTCACTGCTTTTCCAGTCCCTGAAAACTTGATTAAAATGTTTAAAAAGCCTGTAAGGCATTCCAAGCAGCAGCACAACTAATCTGAAAAAATGGGGTATTTGTTGTATTAATAATAGTTCAGTTTCCCATCCTTTTGCAGAATGAACTCTGAGGCCTCAGGGAAAAGTTGGCCCTGATGTCATGGCATTGAGAAATGCAGTTCATTAAGATCTTAAGCAACAAACAACAGCAACAATTAGCTGCTATACTCATTCTTGATTTATCACTACGAAACACAGACGCTACAAATGGAAAGGGCCTAAAGGGTCAACTAGCGCATCCTCTTGCCAATTCATGATTGTCCCGGGTGCTTTTCCAGTGCTTTGCCAGTCTACGTTTCTAAGAAGCTCAAGAAATAAGGATCTTACTACTTCCCCTTGTAAGGATATTCAAATTCAGACAACACTCAATTTCACTTTAACTTTTCACACTCTGTTGGTTAAGTAAGCATTTTTCAACTTTGATCCCTTCCCTCTGAGGTTTACCTCTTTGTTCCCTGACAAAAAATTCTTCTCCCTTTCATATGTTTGTGTATTTCATAGCATTTATGTTACTGTATCTTCACTTTTAGACATTAATTAACCCACACATACACGCATTTTTCTTCCTGTATTCAACTCCGGAAACACATTTGCTGCTTTTCTTATGTCTCCCTCCAGTTTGGGTATACACTTCCACTAGCTAGCTCCCGGCAACGGAAGCACTAATAATTTGCTTTATCTAGCATAAATACATACAGAAAATTCAACAAGGAAAAAACAAAAACTTGTGTTCTCCAAAAGCATATGATCTCTGAAACAAATGAAGGACTAATCAGACTGTTTCAGTTGGAATTTAGATGCCATGAGATATTCTAGTTGTTTAAACGCTAATCATATAGCTTCGGTCTCACTATAAGCTTTCTGCCGTCCCACTGATCTTCAAGTTTCCCTGTTAAACTGAACACAAAACAGCATTGCATTACAATACATTGCTTAGGCTACTGCAGCGTACTTCAGTAGACTTATTCCAGTAGTGGCTTTGTACCAATATACAACAAATTAATCTGATGATACAATACATTGAATGCTGGTATTAAATGCATTAACAAATCTCCTCTCATTTCTATCTTTTTTTTATTATTTTTTATTTAGATAGCTTATGAACTTTTTCTATTTGCTTTAGCATCCCGTAAAGATTTAGCTTATTTTCAAATCTGCTCTTGTTTATCTATTTTCATCTTAAGCTGAATCAACTCATAATAAATCAATTCAAGGTTAATTTCTAAACCCACCTTCCCTGTATCTTCATTAATTAACAAAACCATATTTTAAACAGCATCTTTAATCCCTAAAGTATCCCTGAACAGACAGGTCAGGGATTATCTGGAGCAAACATTTATTGGCTAACATACCTCATCTGTACCTCCCATATTAGATTTTCTGTAATGACTTAGCTCCAAGTAGTATTTCTCTTTCTAATGGCATAACAGAAATGCATATATATATATATATATCTAAATCTGACTCTGGGGCTCTACGGCAGACTCCTAAATGTATTCTAGAAAACATTATTTGACAATCTTTTCCCCAGCGCAACTCCAAGTTAGTCCCAAGTCCCTTCTTTAAATTCAGTGACATTAAAGTACATAGCTGCCCCACATCTTTACCTTTTGCCTTCCTTCTCTGAAGGTGAGTACCTGGTTTTGAGCATCTTTTTAATACTTGTCTTATTTTAGTAACTTGGATTTTTTGATACAAATACATTTTGTAATGCAACCGTTATCCCTCCATAATTCCTGCATCCTTGCAATAGCTGGAAGCAGCAGTTTAAATTACCCCACTCCTTGTATTTTTACACAAACATTTCAGTTCTTTGTTTTCCTGATAACTCATTCGGTTGCTAGCTTAGGACCAATCCTTTCACTAATTATATACCCTAGTTGAATACCATCCCTCCGTCTGTCCATAGATATTCCTTTATCTTTTGCAATGCCTTCATGTATTTAACTGCCCTCCTCCTGCGTACTAAAGCCAGACAAGAAGATTACAGTCACTTCCAACTGTCTTCCCTTATTCCTCAGTTTAAGGCTCTTATCTTTTGTTTCAGCCCCACTCCTAGGAGGCCATTTTCTCAGACATTCTGGTGGAATTCCAGGAAAACCAGATTTCATTGAGAGAGAAAAATCAAAATGTCAGCACTTTGAATTTGAAGAAATGGCTGTATTTCAAACGCAGCAGATATTAACTTGAATTCCTTCCAACAGGTACTGAAATTTCCTTCGTTTTTCTTACAAAGGTAACAGTGATAGTACTTAAAATACTATTGAGTTTGAGAGGAGCATAAATAAACATGAAATGGGTTGTAGATGGTATAGGTTAATTTTTTTTTCTTTAAAAAGCATTTTCTCCCATATGTTAAGATGGCAATACAATTTACAATTTGTTATTCTAACTAGAAACTGAATAATAACAACATGGTTTGTCCACATACACTTCTGAGACTGTTGGAATATTTATGTAAACAGGATCTCTGGAATAAAAATAAGTCAATGCATTTACATCTTCTTTTGTCAAGTTAAGTCAAAAATATAATAGTAATGTGACCTTGACTGTAGCATTTCCTCCTATGAGTGGCAGTACCAAAATAGAAGAAGGATAAATTCACTTTTAAATGACGCTTAAAAAAAAGAGCCATTCATGGTATACTGCAGCCTTTGCCTACCTTCTGGCTAGAAAATGAGAATCAAGAAAGAACCATATTATTCAAAATATTATTAGATTTTGGTTTATTTCTGATAAGGTCCCATGTATATGAACAATAACACTTTGTATTTAACAATAGGTAAGGAATAACAACAGTAAAATCACGCTGCTCTCCGGCTGTTTCTGTATATCATGTAGAAGTTGTTTTAATCTAATGCGTATTGTTGCATAGTATCCCCAGGCACAGTCAAGTAAAAGCTAAAGCTGTACTGAAAAGCCAACATTTTAAATGGGTCTTGTCATTAATGCTTTATTAATTGCCCCAGGCAATGCAAACCCAGAGCTAGGCATGCTATAACAATATGACACTTTAAGGTCAAATCCAATCCCTGCTGTGTTTTATGGAGTGGGCCAAATATTGAGTTAACAGCAGGAAAGAACAATTTATTGGGCTTTTCTCCATCTCCTGATTATCTGATCTAAATTAGATCAGTTAGGTTGTTTTTCTCTAAAAACAAAACACCTTTTGTCCACTCAACTTCAAAGAATCTTTGATTGTTTCTGTTCGAACAATAATCTTTAGTAATATCTACTTCTTATTCAAACTATACCTAGTGTGCTGAATATAAAGATATGAAATATAAAACCTTATTTGTGCCTACATAAAAAAATAAATACCATAAATTAAAATGCACCTTTATCAATTTATTTAATGCATACATTACCTTCACATCTGAGGTATCTCTTTGGCTGTTCCTCCAAGACCTGGCTACTGAAGAGAAGGTTCGATCTGGGTGGTCAAATTTGCCATCATTTGCATTTAGAAAGAATGTTGTAAAGGGCTCCTGTAGTCAATGAAATGAAGATGGATTAAGGAAACAGCAGAAGGAATCACACGGCAAGTTTCTAACAAAATCCAAATGAATTTTTCAGATCAAAATTCTTCATAAAGGCAGAATTAAAGAAAAATATGGCACCTCATAGTTAAATCTGTGCATAAGTACCAGTAGTGAATATATTAGTACATTTATTGGCACTAAAACATTTTGCACTCACAAATCCTGAGTTATGGCAGGAAAGGTTATTTTATGCATTCACTCTTCCATAAGACTAATTACCCATCAGTGGCAGACCTATGTAGCTTAGTTCCAGTTCACAACGGCTGCCTACTTCACTGCAACCATTGTAAACACCCTCTGTGTTATTTATATTGCCATGCTTTGTTTACCCCTTGCAAGACGGTATGTCACAATAAAATCTTAAAAAATCCCCTGCCTGGATTTTCCTTTTGTTTTCATTTGATTTAAAAGATCTCAGGAGGTGCCATTTTGCCTCATGGTGGACAGAATGGCTGTACGGTCATTATGAGGCTGACTACGATTACAGAATATTGAGCTTTACTTTGGGGCAGAGGTACAGAGATGAAATATTTAGAGTTTATATTTTTGTTAATTCTATCTGAAACCACACTCCCAATACTTACTAAATGGAAGCTCAAGTCTTACACAGTCTGGAGAACGTATTTTTATATCACTGCATGCCACTGCAGGGGAAGGGTTAACAGGGGACCAAATCCTTAATTTGACAGCAGAACCTGAACACCGAGATCGTTGCCAACTCCCTGGTTCTCCAGCACCACTCCATTAGCTCTCTGATTCAATTAATATTTGGCAATATGTCCACATGGATGGAAACTACTTCTCCTTCTTTGCCAAAGTCTGATGAGGAATCTTTGAAAAAGTGTCCCTTTTGTTAAATTCACACTCAAATTTATTTCCTTGCATGTCCTGATCATTTGGAAATGTTGCTAATCAAGGCAGTTCACAATCACCACATCATAATTCTTATTGCAGTATTACCATTCTATTATTTGAATTTTATTCTATATATCCTCTGTTTCTTTTTCTGAAACTTTCAAACAAAGCACAGAACTCCCCCATTAATAAAGAAATTTTGAGGGAATTATGTCACATTAAACACAATGTGTTTAAATTACCCAAGATTAAAGAGGATTGAAGTAATTCATTTTCTGTGTCATTTAAGAGCAATTAAAATATACATAAGGAAAGCATGGATGCAAAGGTAGTGCAGAATCCAAAAAAGGAAGAAAATAAAAAAGGGAATTCAGACTTCCAGAAACCATTGTTTCTGTAATCTTCTGTCTTCCCAATTAATCTTTTCTATCACACACAACAGTCAACACAGGCTACTTTCTTTCAAAAAAGAGAAAAACTAAATTTCTGTCTCTAAAGGAGAAGGAATGGGACATCTCTTTCATTGTAATAATAGTATGCTGGTACCTTTGAAGTAGCTTAAGGAAATTGTTTATATTTCAACAAAGATTTTTTTGTTCTTTTCTTTTTAGCCAAGGACAGTATCTTAACTTTCAGTGTATGTCACTGTAAATATGAAATTGTTTTCATTACAATAATGCAAGACATTCTACTGCTAACCAAATGGTGGAATTTTTTTTCCATGTCTTTTTTTCTCTTAAAACATTGGGGATTTATATTAAAAAGGTACACTCAAAAGAATAGGTAACAATCTAAGTAATATACTTTCATCATCAGTGCATTTATTCCCATCAGAGTCCTAGTATGTGTTAAATACTTAACTAAAAATAATTAAATTAAATTAAAGATAACCACAATATCATTTCTTGTTGGAGGACCCTAACTTACACTGCTCAATGACTTTGTTTGCACTCGGGAATATTGAAAGACTGCGTGGCAAGTGAGGAAGAGGTTTGTAATTTGAATAGAATATTAAAATTTAACAGCAGCTCAACTTGGTGAGCAGCATAAAAGTATTGCAATGAATTGTAATACTGAAAGAAAAGAAATTAAGTTTTTATATGTCTAGATTTTACAGTGCTTCATATAGTGAATTTCATGTAAAATATAAATGAAAAAGCGTATGATTCAGACCCAGAGCTAGTAAACTAAAAAAAAAATATACTCACGAATTGGATTCTATTAATTTAGCCTAGAATTCTATTAATATTATAATTTTAACATTAAATGTACATGAAATTCTTTCAACATTAGAATTATTTTGGTTTTAACTAAATTCTCACCCTCCAATTCTCTGTATATATTTGTAATAGCAACCTTTGCAAATTATGCTATTTTTCTAGCTTAATTGTACTGAAAAACTTTATATGTTGTTGATCCGAGAACAAATAATTCTGTCTTCTACCAACACCAACCTATCACTCTTTTTCTAATAAGATACATGTAATTGGTTGTGAATATCATTGTGTGGCTGTGGGTCACTGCTGAGGTTCTGAAATCAGCAGCAGTTGATGGATTAAAAAAAAGGAGAAACCAGGAAAACGATATCATTACAATAAATTATGTAAAAATATTAATCCAAATTCCATGACAACATTATTTTAAGCATCTGAGACAAATATACAAAAGCAATAAAATTCATAATCAAGGATTAAACTTTTAATAGCTGAGCACTACAGGGTGCCCTATTATGCTATCCTGCTATGACCTGTTGCGCCTATCTTTTTGGATTTTTAATCCTTAGCAGAAATTCAGAGCTTTATCTCAGACCTCTCACATAATTTTAAGGTAATTTTTATTCTCTGGAAAGTCAAGTGCTTCTATTACATAAATACAATTCATATCTATACTTAATATACTCATTTAAATACTGTTATTCTGTGATACCGATTACTGTCATTTCATGTGAAGATTTTGTTGCTGTGAAAGCTATAAAGCTGCACAATGTTTTCATTATAACCCCATCTCACTCGTTCCTAATATTCTGAATAAAATTCACGCCTTGTTCACTGCCAAGAAGAAGAGAAATTTGGGGGGTACTTGGTTACGATTGAATACAAGCTGTGGGCACAAATAATTTTTCCATTCAACCACAGTTGTCCCCCTCTATCCCCCTTTTAACAGTGCCTAGTCCCATTTGAATCATGTATGGTGCGAGTGAGGGAGGGAAGAGGAAGGGATATGTCATTCTGAGACATCTCATGTCAAACAAAAATGTCTTTTCAGCCATTTGTAAGAGGAGAAAAAGAGAGTATTTGGGGTTTTGTCCCAGTAACGTACACCTGTTGTCTATCTGGGACTGTCCTGGTCAGGACCTACCAAATAGGAGACTCAGATTCACTTCTGTTTACAAGAGTACTTCAACTCCTCCCCACCTTTGAAAAAAAACTAGTTTCTGCTTAATCAGACCTGACTCACAATAAATCCAGAATTTCTTCTACCTTGAACAAGTACTTAGTTATTGTAACAGAAATTGAAAACCAATTATTCTCTACAAACTTCCTGACCACAGTGTTAAAGAATCACGCTCTCTAATGCTGGTCTTCATTTCAATGATGATGTAACTGATTCACGCAAACACAACTTCTTCAACAGCAACTACTGAGAGCATCCAATTGCACCTTAGCTCTAGCCTATTTCACCTAAAAATGTCAAAACAATGATGAAACTCACATTCAAGGCAGAATTAATTCTTCTGTTTTCTTCTACATGCTTTTCAGGCTGACATTCAAGTCACTGGAATATATGGCATTCTGATGTAGGATTCTTTGTTTAAACTATTCTACCTACTGAAACTCAAATATTCACAGGCCCACATGAAAGGTACATGAAAAAATTGCTCTTGAACCAGGTGGTAAGGTCACCTATCCATAAACTACAAATATTTAAACTCACTGATACAAAAATGAAACTGTCAACAGGACAAACTTGTGGGCGATGTCGACTCAGATTTCCTAAGGATTAAGTTGAATTTCTTAGGTTTAGATGTAAAGATGTGCAATGTGCAAAAATGTTTAACCACGGTTTGATTTCAGTAACACCTCAAAGGAGAGGAAGGCAATATTGTACAAATCATGGTGTTGCCTGTTAGTTTTTATCATCATTATTAACCTGACTGAACAATATGTTAGACCTTCACATTCATTATCTTTGTAAAGTAGTTATCTAACCTTTAATAATCTCAACTTCTCAACTTAGAAAGCAAGCTGATCACTTTCAAGAAACGGTTGATTTTGGATATAAACCTAACAGTTTTAGAGAACATGCAGGATTCATTCGTAATCACAGCATTAACACTTTCTGGGCTCAGTTCATTTCTTATGAAGCTATTTAGAGGACTGTTTCCTGACCTTTCAGAATTCTAGTATTATGGAGTCACCTGAAATGCACAATGGATTAGTTTAAATAAACATGTACAGATTAATTAAGAATCATAATTTCAATTCACATATGAGTGTGTGCATGCACTCGTGTATGTGTGTGTGCAGGGGATCTGTACAGAAAGAAGGCGTGTGTGTTATCTTGCTTTGGAAAAGTTTCAAGGTCAGCTGTATAACTCCCAAAAGTGACCGTAAGCAATCTGATAAATGGTCTGGTGAGGCTGAACCATTGCTTATTATGAAACTGCCTTCATTTTTCTACTAGCGTTCTTACAGAATAGAATGGAGCACACCTCGACTTGTACAACCAGCTCACGGAAAATAAAAACAGAAGCTTTGCAGATGCACTGGTAGCCCACGGCTTCACTTAAGGATTACACCCTCTTCTATTAAGTATAATGAAAGGTAGAAGAAGAACAAAAATTAATAATAACATTACTATAGTTGCTGTAATTATCAGTAGCTTCAACATATTATATGCTAAGCCACCATCATATTTTTGAAAACATAATGAAATAGGTCAATTTTGAAGATGGGTTTTTACTGGACATTCTTAGTACACAAAAGAACTCAAGAGAAAATCGCATTACCATTGAAAAAGTTATTGACAAAACAGAGGCAGAGATTGATGATATCAAAATCAATTAAGCAGGACAGAACTGAGGCTAAGGCATAAAGTGCCTTTTATAAAAGTAGCCTGATATGTCAGATAAAGGAAAGCAACAGAGGGAAATAGAAGGCAGTAGGGAGCAGATTATCACAGAATTGACTCAGAAATATGATATTACAAGCAATGTTTTGAAGGAAACTGACAGGAACCAGATTGCATCTGTCAAAGCCAAAAAGTAAGATTCAAAAAAAAAATTTTAAGGTTTTGTGGCAATTACACAACTCTATATATACATACTTCAGAGTGGCTGAAACTTCCTCTCCTACTGCAACTACTGTTTCCTCCAATACAAAGGTCTAGGCATGCAGTTTCTTCCCCTGGATCCGCATTACTCTGTCCTGGTTTGTTCTGCTTCTATCTAAACCACCTACTTTCCAGTATAATTTTTGTCAAAGTTTCTTTGCTTGCTTGCTTGCTTGTTTTCTCTCCATTCCTCTCTTCTTTCTTTCCCTTTTCTTTTATTGTTTGGTCTACACAGTCTTCTCCCATGATTTTACTTTCCACTCTTTCTTCTCTTTCACTCTCAGTTTGTTGTCATTTTCTACCAAAAGCTCTACTGTAACACATCTCTTCCCATGAATCTTCTCCAATCCCTTAAAATACTGAAAGCATTTTTCTGTCTGAATCTCTGCATCTGTTATTGTCACCTTCCACTGCCTGGACTAGACTGTAATTTACTTTTTATCAAATGTTCTTACACAGCCTTCTTCCCAAACGCATACCAAAACATTAGCTCAAAAAATTTGCAAGCAAGATCCTCTCTGAACTTCCAGAAATCGGACTTAGCAGCCTAATCTATCAACTTCAATGGCATAATCTTCTCTCTTAGGATTTTTCATCCTTTATTTTGCAGCCAAAAATATCTCTCAGTATGACTTTATAACCCCCATAGCTATAATCTTTCACTGTCTCTACACACACTTATTTTCAAATCTTTATTTTGGGTTTCCATAGGCAGCTCTATCCAATCTCATCACGTTATTTCTTTTTTCCCCTTTTCTGAGCTTTAAACTTTCCCCACCTTTGTCTCCCTCTCACTTATGTCGTCTCCTCCCACTAGTGACTGCTTTTCTTTGCTGGTCACTCCCGTTTAAATAATCTTTAAGATACCTATCTAGGTGTGCCCCTGCATTTAATCATAGAACTTAAATTCTCCCTTTGTTGTTTTCACCTTCTTGCCATCAGCAATCTCTTCCCTGGAAAGCACTGCTTTTCCTTTTCTTCTCCGCTTCCTATTCTCACACATATTGTTTGCCCTAACAAACATAATTTATCAGGTCTCTATTGCAAGGCCATCAAGGCAGAGACCTTGTTCTCACATTCTCTTTTAGGGCAGAAAAGAAAGAGAGCAAGAACACCTACAGTATTACATAAACAACAGCAGTAAAAATGACACAGCATTAGCCTAATACAGGAAATGAATGCTCCTTGGTGTGTTGTACATTCAGCCTGTAAGCAGACTTTCAGTCCTAAGGATTTGCTGACTAGCAAGAGGGGATCTTTTGTTGAATTGCAGCCAAAATTAATAGATAAACTTGCAAATAAACCCCGTTTTTAATATACTTGAAGGCAACAAAGAAGCACATGTGAACCATAAAATGTATTCAAAGTACATGAATAATTGAGCAACATTTAAGAGGAGTACAGTGATCACCCCATATAGGAGTGTAATCAACGTTTAGTTTCCCATGGGTTAAGAAGAAGTATATCCTGAACTCATAGACACATGAATGCTTCCCTTCTGAGCAGAAAAACAGGATGTGTCTAAGGGAAGCTGAGATGAGTGAAAAGTCAGTGAAAACCACTTTGTGCAGTTCTGCTTTGCTTGATTGTGTGAGAAACGTGTAGAATACAACTTATCCGACACATTTTTACTGGTAGTTTAAGTTCGGTAATTACATAGTGACTCAACTTTTTCATTAATTCAGGTTTCTCTGTGAAACCTTAAGTCTCTTTTCAACACTCCCTTCTCTGTAATTCATTGTCTTAACACACAAATGGAATTCAGATTCTTTCTGTCTTTGAAGTTCGGCCCCCTTTCCCTAGATCTGATTTTGAGGATAGGATCTAAGCATGAGGTTCCCAGAACTGAAATGGCAGTTTGAAGTTGGAATCTACATCTTTACCTTTCTGAAAACTGTAAGTTATGAATTCATTGAGAAGCATAGTTCATTTGCATAAAATATTACTCCACGCTGCTTTAATATAAAACTGGTTCTATAATTCCCCTCTCAATCTGACACAGTTTAATGTGCTCTTTACGAAAGGTTTTTCTTTAATGTTGTATATATCTCTCACTAGCTGAAAATAATAAAAGAATATATGAGTAGTATCAGCTTTCTGTACTGTCTAGAGACTTTTATTTTAGATGGATTTAGGTTTAGATGGATTTTCTTCATTGTATGTGTCCTTACACCACCACCACAATTTTGTGTCTAAATATATTTCAGATTGTTTGGGTAGGGAGGAATCACTACAAATGAGCATACACAGTATTATACCTAGAGAATTTCTGAGAATTTAAGGTAGAGAAGAACAATGAGATTTTGATACAAAGGTACTTTCATTAAAAAAATCAAAATAGTGGTAAGTGACAGAAGAGATGCTGTAGATAAAGATGTTAATGAAAACCAGGATCCAGAAATACTTACAATACGAACAAGCCAAGCCAATGTAGAAGTAGATGTAGAGTAGTGGGTGTTGTAATGATAAGGTGGAGTCTGATCATCTTCCCATGTCTCATATCGTTCTGCATAGAAGACTGCTCTCTTTGGGTTCAAAGCACCAATAGGCTACAAAGGGATAAGAGGTCAAATATATTATCAGCTGAAGGGCAGCCTGTCTGATATGTCACAGGTTAATTCTGCATTAAGTTTCTCTACATAGGAGACTGCAACCAAACTCATTCCATGCTGTAGTAATCCCTTCAGATTGCTGCAACCTTAGAATTTCTTTTCAAAGGCTTTGCCTACTAAAAGTCTTATGACTTTCCTTATTTTAATTGACAAATATAAGTGATCCACATCTGCAAACTTTCAAGACCTTCTTGAAGTATGAGTTGTTTCCCAATTAATTCAATAACATTGTTCTGGAAATAGACTTCTAAAACTGCATTTTAAATGCATTGAGGCCAAACTAATATTTCTGTTGCTGTCATTCACCATAATCACACAGCTAATGAAAACTGACTTTTGCTCACACAGGATACTTTGTAATGCACAGTTCATGATGAAAAGATTTCACGCGGAACTGCTGACAGTGTCTGGTGATCCTAAGCAGAAATACTTAAAAACCATGCGTAGTCCTGCAGGACTGGATCCACTTTCTGACTGAACAAAGCCAGGTTTTACGGAGTGAAACAAACAAGCTTTGTTCTTAAAAACAATAGAATTTGAAAATTATTCACAAATTCCAACTCCATTCTGAGCAGACTTAACAGACAATCTATAGGTAAAAACCAAAAGAAATGTAAGACAGTAGTAGGAACTGTTGGTTTTGATGTGGTTGCTTAGGGGATACATGCTTTTCTGTAATTTTTTTAACCCACTTCAGAATTTTTTTCAAAATGTATTTGTTATTGTGTCATACAGAATTCACTGGCATAAAGAAAATACAACGGAAAGTAATTAAAATTCGAGACGAATCTATAAGTGACCTTAAAATCTGTTTTTCCAGATGAGATAGTATTAGTGTATTTACTACCTATCTGCAAAGAATCTTCAGATTTTAGCTTTTGTAGTAAAGTTAACCAAACACACAGAGTTTAATTCTTAGAGGAGAGCACACTTCCACACCAAATAATTGTATAAACTTATTATAATTTTAAATGATTACTTGATTTGTATTAATCAAATATTAAGAGTTAGAATTGATATTATTAAAGGAAATACAACTTGAAAACAAACATATATACAAGGACTTTGACCCATTTCAAAATTCTAACAGGTATTCTTGCTTTTCATTCCACCGCACAATTTTTCTACTGTGTTGTTTGGAACAGAAATCCTAGTGTAAGGTCAAATCAGTGTGATCCACTACACTACATATGTAACTGAACAATTTTAAAGCTACAAGTATTTTATTCCTTCAGTGCTGTTATGATTTTTTGAGATGGCTGTTTAAAAGGCTGACATAGAACATGATGTTTTCAAATTTTACATATTAGAGCTTGTTTTAATAGCAGTGTTTGATGAACACTTACCTTTTAAAACATTATGATTTCAGTATTTCTCACATGAAACAGTCTGTATGTTTAATACTTTGCTGTGTCACGGAGATGTTAACAGCTTTCTCATACGTGTAAAATGTATGAGTAATCCCTAAAGATCAGTGTTATCTGGTACAGATTGCACTGCAAGACCTCACAAAACATTCTTGAAAAAAAAAGTATGAGCCATTCCCTAATGCTTTCCAGGCTTTTTTCCTGACTACTGGAAAAAGAAAAAATAAATATTTGCGTTTTTGTTATACTTGGTTTTGTTACACATCCTGCCACTGTCAGGAAACACGCTGGCATTATTATAGCCTATAAGTTGCCAATATATAAAATTGGTTGTTCGACCACTTCCTTGAAAGAGTGCCTTATTAAAAGACATTCTTCTCCTATTAGACTGACAAACTGTGCACATATATGTGCACTTTGCTAAATTATATCGGGGCTCTGGGTTGCTTTGGGGACTGCACGAGACCTGCTCATACCACCCTCATTAAGGTACCGTGCATCCACTTCTCTGGCAGAACAAATTCCAGTCCCCAACTGCACATTTCAAAAGCTAAAGCCGTAATTCACACCTGAGTCTGTTAACAGGAAAAGTTCATCCCCTCTGAGAAGGAAACACAAAATGGCAGCCAAATGGGTGAGATTGTATTTTGTAATGGAAAAACACCCTGAGAATCTCTCTTCCCTCCAGTGTGAAGGTGCGTCTTACCCTACGCTGCAGTGAATTCTGAGGCTATGGAAGACAGAGACGTCATCTGTCACAATATTATTGTACATGTATGTTTGAAGGCACAGTAGAGAAGGGATATGGTGATTAATGCAAGACTGGAAAGCAAAACGCCAGACCTTTCAAAATATAGTTGAAGCTGATCAGATGTCTTTCATCAAATAAGCTGTGTTTTCATTCTTTGTTGTAAATTGATTACAGTAACAAGAACTGTGAGGCATAACTGATACTCAAAAATAATTACAAGGGGGTTTTCTTATAGACTAGCAAAATTTTAATGATGGTTTAACCCATAGCTTCAAATAACTTTAAATATATATATAGTGTTGTATTTAATGAAAAAGGTACTTTCTTCCCAGAACTTGACAATAATTTTCCAAAGTCACATAAAACACTAGCGCAAAGACACCATCATGTTTTCTAGGTCCTTCAGAGAGAAGTGTTATTTCAATTTAAAAGATAAAAGATATAAAGTTGTAAGATGGTACATTCCCATTTTCATGTAAAAATGCCTGCACAAGTAGCTAAAATAATCTACTTTCAGAAGACACATGTTCAATTTATTAAATGATAAACCTAAAAAGCTGTATTCTGAAGATTACCTTCATCCTCATCAATATTCTTTTCAGAGTCAGAATCCATTTTTCTTTCAATTACTTTAGGATTCGTTTGAAGAAAAATGCTGAAATGCGCAAAATGTCTGCTGAATAAAATGGACTCTTAAGTGAAATATCATGAAAGTCATCTCTCTTCTTGCATGGTACGGAAATTTTCATGTGAAAATCTCTGGGAAGTATCTTTTTTGGGAATCACCCTTCCTTGCCCCAGAGAGAAGGAAAGAAAGAAAGAAACGAGGGGGTGAGGTAGAGCTTGTCTTCAACTAGAAAGTCTCACCTCGACTTCTCGGGACAGATCCTGGATTGCATGAAAAAGTGATCTGGATGGTTGCTTGGGATTCAGGAGATATAGGTTCATTTCTGTCATTCCAGAAAGATTTATAGTGTTCCTGGGTAAACTGCTTAGGTACGACTATAGCTTGCAATACAAAGGTGTGCTAGAAATCCCTGAGCTAGCTCTAGAGGGGCTGGCGTGCAAACATGGCACCATTTATGCCGAGATGGCACCCGCAATGTCCGAAGTAGTGGACCTGCCTCGGTGCAGCACGGCACAGGGAGGAGAGCGGGGACCTGTCCAGGCTTGTACAACTCTGCAGCTTCTGGTCCAGCGTTACATCAGCTATCTCTGGGCTGCGGCGAAGAAATACAAGGAACATCTCATCCCCCTTTTCTCCTTTTCTGTGCAGTAATGCGGACCCCTGTGTGAACTACGTTAACAGAAAGGACTTATACATTGAAACCATACACATTAAAAACGTAAATGGAAAGTGCTCAAATCTCTCATTTTGTTGTTGCATAATTTAAAAACTTGTTGATTGACCACAAATAGATCGGCTTGTGTGTACCAAATGACCAGACATTTGCTGAAAGCGAAAACTTACATAAACAAAATAGCATGGAGGAAATTCAGAGAGGTCTACCCCTGGCTTCCTTAGTGGTTTTTTAATGTCCGTGTGTCAAAATGCTGTTACCCAAAGAAATAGTAGCAGTTCATCCTTCAGTAAAGACAAGAATTTTTGGTAAAGTCTTTAGATCTCAGTTGTACAAACTAGCAACTAACCCAGTTTTACTCTGATGAGGCACGTGTCCTGCTAGATGACAAGTTCTACAGTAATGGTAGTTGCTCACATTTCTTGTGAAATGTGCAGGGTATATGGAGTTTTGGTTGCTTTCCCATAGCATTACAGTGCTATTCTCAGTCCAGAAAGTCAACTACTGAGGTCTGAACCTGAAATCATGGCTATAAAAAGGAGATAAATTTTGTTTATGGATCAATCCCTGTATCTTCACACAATGGAAGAAAATAATCTTATTTCTATTTCAATGGGATTCTACTGCTGAGTGAACTGGGTAAAATGACTTGTACAAACAATACAAAGGCAAAGCTCAATCTACATACTATGTCTCAGTCCAGTACCTTAACCATAAGACTAGTACAGAAACTGAATTTCAGTCAAACAAATTGTTCTGAACGTTAAATAAAAAGTTCTTCCTATAATGTTTTAGAAAATGCTTTTTCCAAACACACCATTTGTCTTTTTATTAAAAAAAGCCCTCCGTAAGGGCTGATATCAAATATTATTAACTTTTCATAAAATGGTTTTATAAGACATTCTTTACTCCAACCAAGCAACTCACTGTATGACAATGCCTATTCAGCCACTTCACTCCTGATGTACTAAAAGCTGCTGTTTGAGTTTATTTTATGCTTCTTTTTCCCTTTAAAAAATGAAGTTAAGTATTTATTTTAACATTAAAAACACGCTGCTATTCATATCATTCTTTTTTATCTGGCTAATCTCTTTAGACATCTGGCCTTTGAACCAGCGTATTGTCAATACATCTAGTGTTTATATCCACTGGACATGTTATGTTAGCTCATGTAATATTTACTGTTTTGCCAGCTATTGTCATAGAACTACATTCTCTCATGAGAGCAGAACTGAACGTAGCATCCTATTTATCCAGCCACTGAAATACTCTGCTTATCTTGACTCTAATTCATGCAGCAGCTACCTTATCTGTTTATCTCTTTTTTTGGTAACGTACTGCACAAAATTGTAGCCGCTTACAAAAGAAATCTTGAGTGTGGCTTTATTCGGCTCTGGCTGAATACAGACTGAGCTTTTCCTGACTCCTTGCTTTTTTATTTAAAAAGACCACCGAACAACAACCTTTAAGTAGGACATCGTAGGATGGTACTTTAAAGTTTAAAATAAATTCCAATTTTATCTGAATTTGTAAACAGCTTTTCTTCAGCATATCAATATTGACATCAAATACAAGAGTTCTGGCAGATTCAAAGTACCAGAGTTTCACTCAGTGAATGAACTTTTTATTTAAGAAAAGAAAATGTTCAACTGTGTGGCCTAAACTAAGTGAGAATCAAACTGATTTTTCTTTTGATGGTAGAATTGCATGTGACAAAGAGAGAAGTTTAAGTTACAGCAACTGCTTCCATTTTTCAAGTGAGAGTGGCTTTTGATAAGCCCATAAACTCCATTCCACAGCACACACATTTTTGGAAGTATTAAGTGTGGTTTGCCTTGAAATATTCACACTTCGATGCGTTCATTTGCATTATTACATTTAGAAGCCTTGGGGCTTTATCGCTTCCTTTTCTTGAAATGGCACAGTAATAAGGAAAAGTGGTTATGCTTATCACCACCCGTCAGTCAAACACCTTCTATATTAACAAAATATAATTTTTTCCACCCAATGAATGGGCGTGTGATGTTTCATACACATGTCAATATTAGTATTACTTTGCCTGGTGAAGAAATCATTTTATTTAACAGGATGTATGACTGGAAGTAAATGAGGAGGAATTCCCATTTACACTTTAATGAGCAGGGACAATGCAGCATGTCAAACCCATGCATTCAGTAGAATTTAGGAGTAAAAGTCGTACAATTTTGCACAAACAAACCACATCACATTTTAAGTGTGCTGAAACCCCGAAAATCTGAGTGTACAGTATGGGCTGCATACACAGTTCCCATACTAATGTTTAACACCAGAGGTATTCTTTTAAAGGAAATCTCAATAAAGGAGAAAATAAGCAGATCACCTGGTGTTTTGATAGTGAAAAGATAATCTATGTATCTATGACAGCCTCTTTCATTAGCTTTTCATCCTGTCAAACAATAAATATAACCTTTAACCTTGTATATGTAATGAATAAAACTTGAGCCTACACTGTCTAATCAAATGAGAGGTCCAATATATCCTACTGCTACAGCACCTTCCAAGCCCATGGGCCCCGGCTTTAAATCTCAAATTATATGTAAAAGGAGAAAAAAGCCTTGATAGGGGAATTTCTAAACACTTCAAACAAAAAGGGCAGAGGAATTTTCAGACTACTATTTAAATTCACTTGTTCTGCGAGAGCAACCAACATTTGGATGTAAAAGTACCACAATAAAGAGTGCTACATAAAACCAGAATAAAATTGGATGGAAGGAAAGGACAAGTTACATGTTCAAGATGGCTTTGCAGAAATGTAAATATTTAAGTTTGAGCTAAATGCAAAAGGCATATGTTTTAGTCTGTCACTGACATCCTAAGCAAACCAAACACATCTAATTTCATTTTCACAAAACATATGAATTACATTTGTAGTGTATGTTCAATTAGGAGTAGTGATATCGCAAAGGTGGAGTATCGCATTTTATACAGAAAGCCTAGGAATCAAAGGTTAACAAATTTCAAAAGTACAGTCAATTATCATTATTGAAAGTGGAGCTTTGTATGAACTTTGTATGATAACACACATTATTTTTAAAAAAGTTAGATTTAGTATCTATATTTAACTACCAAAGTTATTTTAAACCAGGAAAACAAATAATGATAGGTGGTTTTACTTTTAATGTCATTGCTTTTATGGGCTTTTACCACATAGGTAATAGCGTTAGAATTGTTTCAATGGATTGTTTGAGGGGTATTAATTACTAAATATTAAGGACAGAGGCTTTCTGAAACCTAAGAAGGGCAAACTTGTGGGAAGATAGAAGGTCAGGAACTGACAAAGGAGATTTTATCCATCAACAGCTTAGCTGGAGGTTCAGATTTGCCATCAAATCTGCAGGAACATTTCTCCATTGCAGGGTAGAATCTGACAGAAGGAAGTAGTTCCTCAGGGACAGGACACTGTGTGTGCCTGCCCCAGAGGTCTGGCTCAGGTTTGGTGGCACATCCCGATTCAATAATGTGAACAATAAATTACTAAGTCCTGCTTTTAAGCACTCGGCTAGGGAGGATTTACCTCCCCTAACAAGGAAAGGGGCTTACTTACAGATACAGGACAATATCGAAAATGAAAACAAAATTGTCAGGGAAACACTTCAGATACATTCGGATTTTGAAGATTTTTACCGATAGCGCACAAATTGTAACAGGATGCAAGTAATGCATAACAGCCTAAGCGCACAAAGTAAGGCATTTCATATTAACTGGCTGCTGCCTTTTACAAAATACCGTTAATCTATTTTTCCTTTTAAAACCATTGTGAAATGAAATCTATCAGATGTTATTATAATAAACAATGGGAAAAATTGACAATTACACCCCTTTTATCCTGAGGGATCCCACAACACTTTACAGATTGCACATGTGTTTTCTCACACATCCATGGGATAAATGCAGCCCAGATATTGCCAGAAAGGAAAGACCATTTTCCTTAACTAGTTCTGTGTACGCAATTTTTTAGGGGTCAAAACCCCAGCTTTTCCAGAGGAAACCACTGGTAGCTTTTGAATAAGAGAACGCAGTTACCAAACTGGGTAAGAAAAGGTCCTCAGGCAAAATACTGCCACGCACATTGCATGAATTCTTGAAGTAACATAAATAACCAGGGACTTGATTTTACATTTCCTTTCAAGGGAGTGCAGTGATACTTAATAAGCTATACAAGCACTAATTCCATAATAGTCTTTAGTAACTCATGAGGAAAACCTATCTATTCAGCTATCACACTACTTCCTGTAGCAATTACATACTTTAATAGGCTGCCATAAGAATTTGGATTCAACCAAAACTAAGTACCTAATGAAGGACTCGTGAGATGCTGTCTAATCTTGTTGCACTTCACCACACCCAATGCTATTAATACTAGAAAGAAGTGAGTTTGAGAGATTTTGAAAAGTGTAAGCATCTTAATGAAAGGTTTATCACTAGAAACAATTCTAAACCAGAAATATTTTTATACATGCTAGGGAAAAAGCCAGTGCAAGATGATCATCGGTCTTTATTTAACTCATGTCTGTGGATTTTCTTTTATTGCTCCTGGCACGGATTACAATGGTGTTACAGAACTGGAAAACACATTTGTGAAACATATCTATAATACCGTGAAAGGTCAGAACTTTTACGTAATGTAAGTAGAGTCTCAACCAATTTGTTTACATTTGAGGCATACTGTCAATGTAGTTTACTTTCTATTTTATTTACTTATTTATTTATCTGAGAAAAAAGGGAGAGGAAACTTAGGTGTCTCTATCTGCTGTTATGCAATCAAGTCCTACTCAAATTATTTTGGAAGTCTCACAAAAGCAGGCTTCCAGGAACGGATATAATACATCTGGAGGTATTGCAAGCACACGCTTTAC